CGCTTCTGTTCTCACTTCTTTTCATTCATTTGATCTTCAATTGCTGATACTCTTTCTTCCAGTTGATTGAGTTTGTTACTGAAGCTTGTTCATTTGTCACATCATTCTTGTGTTATGGTTTTCATCTCTATCAGTTCTTTTAAGGTCTTCTCTGCCTTAATTATTCTAGTTATCCATCCATCCATTCTTTTTTCAAGGTTTTCAGTTTCTTTGCGCTGGTTACGTAGTTCCTCCTTTAACTCTAAGAAGTTTGATCAACTGAAGCCTTCTTCTCTCAACTCGTCAAAGTCATTCTCCATCCAGCTTTGTTCCATTGCTGGCAATGAGCTGCGTTCCTTTGGAGGGGGAGATGCACTCTGATTTTTCAAATTTCCAGCTTTTCTGCATTGATTTCCCCACATCTTTGTGGTTTTATCTGCCTTTGGTCTTTGATGATGGTGATGTACTGATGGGGTTTTGGTGTGGGTGTCCTTTCTGTCTGTTAGTTTTCCTTCTAACAGTCAGGACCCTCAGCTGTAGGTCTGTTGGAATTTGCTTGAGGTCCACTCCAGACCCTGTTTGCCTGGGTATCAGCAATGGAGGCTGCAGAAGATAGAATATTGCTGAACAGTGAGCGTTGCTGTCTGATTCTTGCTCTGGAAGCTTCATCTCAGGGGTGTACCCCACCGTGTGAGGTGTGAGGTGTCAGTCTGCACCTAGTGGGGGATGTCTCCCAGTTAGGCCACTCAGGGGTCAGGCACCCACTTGAGCAGGCAGTCCGTCCATTCTCAGGTCTCAACATCCATGCTGGGAGATTCACTGCTCTGTTCAAAGCTATCAGACAGGGGCATTTACCTCTGCTGAGGTTTCTGCTGCTTTTTGTTTAACTATGCCCTTTCCCCAGAGGAGGAGTCTACAGAGGCAGGCAGGCCTCCTTGAGCTGCAATGGGCTCCACCCAGTTCGAGCTTCCCAGCGGCTTTGTTTACCTACTTAAGCCTCATCAATGGCAGGTGCCCCTCCTCCAGCCTCACTGCCACCTTGCAGTTAGATCTCTGACTGCTGTGCTAGCAATGAAGGAGGCTCCGTGGGCATGGGACTCTCCAGGTCAGGTGTGGGATATAATCTTCTGGTGTGCCATTTGCTAAGACCCTTGGTAAAGTGCAGTATTAGGGTGGGAGTTACCCGATTTTCCAGGTGTTGTGTGTCTCAGTTTCCCTAGCTAGGAAAAGGGATTCCCTTCTCCCTTGTGCTTCCCAGGTGAGGCAATGCCTCGCCCTGCTTCAGCTCTCGCTGGTTGGGCTGCAGCAGCTGACCAGCACCGATTGTCCGGCACTCCCCAGTGAGGTGAACCCGGTACCTCAGTTGAAAATGCAGAAATCACCCATCTCTGTGTCACTCATGCTGGTAGCTGGAGGCTGGAGCTGTTCCTATTCAGCCATCTTGGACGTGCCCGCAGATTCAACAACTCAGAAACAACATTTTTTATTATTTGATTTTATCTTCTTTTGAGACAGAGTCTTGCTCTGTTGTCCAGCCTGGAGTGCAGAGGCATGATCTCAGCTCACTACAACCTCTGCCTCCCTGGTTCTCATACCTTAGCCTCCCAGGTAGCTGGAACTACAGGCTTGTGCCACCACACCAGGCTAATTTTTATATTTTTAGTAGGGACAGGGTTTCACCATGTTGGCCAGGCTGGTCTCGAATTCCTGACCTCAAGTGATCTGCCCTCCTCGGCCTCCCAGAGTTCTGGGATTACAGGCATAAGCCACTGCACCTGGCCTGGAAGGGAATGAAAGAATGTCTTTTGCAGCAATTTGGGTGGAGTTGGAAGTCATTATTCTAAGTGAAGTAATATGGGAGTGGAAAACCAAAAACTTTATGTTCTCACTTGTAAGTGGGAGCTAAGCTATGAGTATGCAAAGGCATACAGTGTGGTATAATGAACTTTAGAGAGTCAGAAGGGGAATGATGGGAGGAGGCTAGAGATAAAAACTACACCTTAGGTCCAGTGTATACTACTTGGGTGACAGGTGCACTAAAATCTCAGAATTCACCACTATTTAATTCATTGATGTAACAAAAGGCCACTTGTACTCCAAGTGATTCTCGTGCTTCAGCCTCCCCAGTAGCTGGAATTACAGGCACACATCACCATGCCTGGCTAATTTTTGCATTTTTATTTGGTTGGTGCAAAGGTAGTTGTGCTTTTTGCCATTATCTTTAGTAGCAAAAACCACAATTACTTTTGCATCAATGTAATAGTAGAGGTGGGGTTTCCCTGTGTTGGCCAGGCTGTTCTTGAACTCCTGACCTCAAGTGATCCACCTACCTCAGCCTCCTAAAGAGCTGGGATTAGAGGTGTGAGCCACTGATCCCAGCTGAAATAAAAAAATAAAAAAATTAGATTTTATTGTTTTGAATTTTATTTAAAACTCTTTGCAAGAAATGATGCTGGAAGACTACCTCTTTAGAGTTGTAATCCATACATCCACAAGCTCTGGCGACTTTAAAGACAGGCAATGGAAGAGTGAGCACTCAAATGTAGCAGATTGGCTCTTACTCATTTTCATAATCTGCTCACCCTAGCACTGATATAATATTATTCTGAGAATGTTAGTCAGCTAAAGCTGTTTCTTTTAATTCTTGTCCACATTGGTGACATGAGGAATAAAACTCACCATTTCATATCTTTAGATACTGAATATTCTGGTAGCTCAGCACCAGACTCTGTGAAGTCATTCCTTTTGTTTATCTGTGACTTGGATTACATTCCAAGTATGAATTAACATAAAGCCAGACTAGATGAACAGTTTTAGAAGAATATGACTTGCTTTTTTTTTTTTTTTTTGAAGAGCTCATTTAGAAGGTGATACATTCTTTTCCATATTCATTTCCAAATGCTTATATAAAGAATGCTGAGTGACGTCTTGCCTAGTGATCTTAAACACTGACTTACACAAAGTACCTTGCTTCCTTGTCTCAGCACGTTAATACATCCCCTTTCCCCCATAGATATCTAGGACAATGAAGTTGATGCTAGCTCAGTTCTTATAACCTGCTGCCAAGTATTTTGATGGCATTATCTGAAGTGTAGGTTAGCTCTTTGCTGACCCAGCTACCTAGCATGCAACTGAATGTGTGAAGAGTAGGAATATGCTGGCCTTGTGTGGATGGATTTCAAGTGCAATGGCCAACATTTTTACAGTCCCAGCTATATTAAACCAACCAATTTAATACCTTCTTTCTAGTTAAGCTCCAGTTCCTTGAAAAAGATATTGTTTATAATTATCATATAGCTATATTAGATATCATTTATTAAACACAATAAATACTGGCTGTTTTTAAATATTTTACATCTATTTTCTCACTGAATGCTCAAAACTATAAGATAGACACTATTATTGTAAACATTTTAGAGTTGACAGAGGTGAGCCTTAGAGAGATAAAGTAACTATCCCCAGGTAACTTTGGCAGAAAGTTGAAAAGCTGGAATTTGAAATAAAGCCTATGTTTTAAGCCACTCTATGACATTGCTCCCACTGTACCATTGGTTTTGGTAGATGGATGTAGGGGAACTTAATGATTCAGATGTGGCTATTCAAGAACACTTGTTGTTCTTGTAGTGCATTAAATTTGGACTATATTGAATATTATCACTAATCTCTAGCTAGCAACCAAAGAAAACAAGATATTAAAGATAGCAACAGCTTTACATAGAATATTTTTTCAAAAATATTATACATTCTCCAATATTTTCTGTGGCTCTGAGAATCTGCTGTCATAATCAGTTCAATCTAGCTTGTTCCTTAAATGCTTGAGAAGTACCTCATTCTACTCAACACATTACCACATATAAAGCATGTGACAATACCAGATTATGTTCCACTTCTACCCCAAATAGTAACAAAACTCCTGCAATTTGTTAAGATATTATTAAACTGTGTACAGGTGCTCAGATTAAAAAAAAAGTCCCTTCTTCCATTGAAGTTGGACACTACCACTACCTATTCAAATTCAAGTTGTCATGGCCTCGAATCCATATGTAAAGTTTTTGGTAGGATAGTCTATTTCTAGTTGTTTTTTCAAGACTCATAATTTGGAACATTCTAGATATAAAATTGCATTGACACTTCATATTCTTTTTCACTTTATAAAAAGGTCATTCATGGTTTATGTTAAAAACAAAAGCAAAAATTTGGAGGAAAGTTAAAGAAGTAGAGCCAGATAACAGAATTTTCTTTTCTAATATCTAATAAAGTGAAACAAAAAGATGAAAATAAAATCACAATAGGAAGGAAAAGATCACCAGAAACTATCAAAGAGAGAGAAAACAGATCTCACACCATTAACTTAAAACAAGTCACCTAAGAAAAGAAACAATAGATTTTGTCTAGGAGAATGAAAGTCTTCTAAACTTGCCTCTAGAAACCTGTTTTAACCATAAACTAGAAAATGGACATGTAAGTTGACAAAAATCTTAAGAATTTTTCTCCTCATTTGGAGAAAAGTAGACTAAATGTATATTTTTTCTTTTATTTTCCTCTTATGAAAGGATGGAAGTTGCAATGGTTACATTTGAAATATAAATGAAAAATGGGTAGAGAATCAAAATTATTCACTCCTAGATGGAAACATAGTCTCCAGGGCTCCATGCTGAAGAACAATGCTGATACTACATTCTCCTCAAAACAATTCTGAAAATTTTTCTTGACTCATGAAAGCCAACTAACTCAGTAGTTGTAATTACATACTTTTATGATCTGGTTTCCTTTTTCACTCTAAATTCGTATCCTCCTAATCTTCTAAATAAGCAGTATGTTTTGCTTCTTAAATTTCAAATAATTTATGGAAAACAGAACTAATTCTCTCTAGCTGTTCCTTTTTGGATCCCCATTCACTCTTCTCTAATAACAATTAAAATGTCATTTTGTTTTTTGTAAATTTATTACATAAATTTACCATTTATATATCTTTCCTTCATTCTAGACTATAATTAAGACATATACTTTTCCTATTTTTATCTTCAAGGGCCAATTTAGCACTGGAAATACAGACATTCAATGCATATTTGTTAAGTGAAAATATATTTTTTATTGAAGTGTAATCTCCGTTTTTAAAGTTTCACAATCTTTTTGACCGAGTCCTTGAAAGCTTGTTTCACTTGCTGATTTCTTAAAGTATATATGAAGGGATTCAACAGGGGAGTAACTGAAGTAATGAGTACAGCTATTCCTTTGTTGAAAGCACCTCCTTCTTTTGCAGAAGGATTAATGTACATAAACATGCAGCTTCCATAAGAGAGCGAAATGACAATCATGTGGGAGGAACAAGTGGAAAAGGCCTTTGTCCTTTGCTGGACAGAAGGGATCATCAGAATAGTCCTGATAATGTATATGTAAGAAAGTGTCACCAGTACCAGAGTAACCACAAGAGTCACAACAGCCAGGAGAATGACCATCAGTTCTAAGAGTCTTGTGTCTGAGCAGGCAAGCTCCATGAGAGGCCCATAGTCACAGTAATAGTGATTCAGAATGTTGGAGACACAGAAATCTACCTGGCTCATGAGGATGATTGGTGGTAAGATTGCTAGGAATCCCCCCAGCCAGGAGCAGAACACTAGCTGTATGCAGACTCTGCTGCTCATAATAGTAATGTAATGCAAGGGTTTGCAGATGGCCACATAACGATCATAGGACATGGAGGCCAGGAGGTAAAACTCAGTAGCTCCAAGAAATATGGCAAAAAAATACTGAGTCAAGCAACCAGCAAAGCTGATAACTTTATTTCCTGTTGTCATGCTGGTCAGAAATCTGGGAATAAAAATGGACGTGAAGGAAATTTCTAAGAAGGAGAAATTCCTGAGGAAGAAATACATGGGGGTCTGGAGGTGGGGGTCTAGTAAGGTGAGGGTGATAATAGTCAGATTTCCTAGGACACTTAGCATGTAGGTGAGGGACAGAAAGATGAATATCATCACTTGGAGTTCAGGTTGATTGGTAAGGCCCAGCAGAATAAACTCACCAAACATCGTTCTGTTTTTCATTGTTGACCTTCGGAAAACCTAAAGGCAAAAGGTGAGAATGATGAAAATCGAAGAGTTTCTTAGAGTAGGAGAGATAAAATTTATTTTAACGAACAGAATCGGGTCATACATTGCTCACCATCCAGATGGCCCAAACCAGTGTCCCATTGGGCTGCACTTGGCTTCATGTAAGCCCCATATCTTTTGTGTAAATGAACTTTTTCATTTCTCAAGTTGACCTGTTCCTGGGCACTTAAGGAAATTTATTATAGAATAACTACTCATGATTTTTTTTTCAGAAAAATAGAAGTTTTTGAACCTGTTGTTTCCTTTCAAATGTTTATAAAATCTTCACATGTAAAGTACTTTCTCTTGACTATATTATAAGCTCTCCTACTTCTGTGCTTTTGGCACACATCTGTCTACCTCATTCTGTTTTCTGTGCTTTCCTGTTTCTTTCTTTCCTTTCTCTGCACTATTTGATGCTTCAATGGATATCTGCTATAGATCCTTATCTCCATTACTGTCCAAAACTCTGACATCCTTGTTTCAGAAACAAGTAGGAATTTCCCTACACAGGCAATGCTGAAGATCATCTCATTTCATATTGTGAGCCTTTTCTGCTACATGAACAAGGCTCAAGCATCAATAAGTCATGTTATTTAATATTTTATTATATGTTTCTCTGCCACATTCAGAGTCTTCCAGGCACTGATTTGAGATATGTCTCTGAGAAATTTTGAGAGCTCTGTAAGCAGCATTACAGAATGGATTTTGCTCAGTCGTAAAGAGTCCTCAAAGGCAACTAAGGATGACAGTTTATCATGACCCAGACTCCCCAGTTTTCTATTCTTGTCTTACAGAAACCAGAAAAAGTTTTTGACAGTACAAGTTCTTTGTCGATAAAGTGGTAATTCTCAGGGAAGGAAAATTTGGTGGTAGTATCGTGAGTGCATCTTTAGATTTTTCTGATTAAGAGGCAAATATAATATAAAGGGGTCCTTCTAATTTACATGCATATGGATTAGAAAAATTATATTACAATCATTCTTGTCAACCTTCCCATCTTTCCATACAGTTTTTGGAGGTCCTAGATGATGTTAAACATTGACCTGGATCTCCCACAGCCCTCTTTTCCTTGTTTATACTAACCTGTGGTCTTTGGCAAGTACTGCATTTTCTTCCAGATTTTCACAGTTGATCATTTCATTATCCACATTTATAGAATGATAAAATCAGTGACTTTAAAAACATATGATGCTCATACCTTTGACAATCTGAATGACTATAGTATACTGTTTACCTTGTTGTTCCTAAGAGGTAAATCAAAGATGAGATGTGCCACGTGGATCTTTGAGTGGTATAAACTTTAACATGTTTTCCATTGGCTTCCATCCACATTTTACCTTTCTCTTAAGAAAAGTATCTAAGTTTGTGTAACTTAACCAAGAAAAAGAGGATATTATTTTCCATTTTAGGAATCCAATCCAGAATCAAATCATAGTTCCTGAGAGACACAGACCTTCACATGTGTAATAAAAAAGTAAAACAGAGTCCATAGCAGTTATTGAATTAGAAGAAAATACTTTGAGAGGCAGCAAATTTCTTAAAATTTATGTTCTAAGAAAGATTATGAAGTTCTTAGATGGCAGGGGATGGGCATCTTTGCAGTTTCTTTGTTAGCTACAGTAACACAGGTTTTATCTGCTCTTTTTAGAGCAGGCACATGGGATCAATTTCCTGAAAAAGCTAAAGAAGCCCTGTGGACCCAAGTTCAAAAGGGGCTAATGAACCTCAATTGTTGGCAATTTTGAGAACAAATTGTAAACATATGGCTGAGAAGAGAGATTTCAGAGAGACCATTGAGAAAAAGGTTCCATGAGAGAATCTGCTACAGCCATGAAGTTTGTGGGGAAATGTAGAGCAGTGTACGAACACTCCCTTGGGATGGGTGTGGCTGGCCTTGTCATTGTTTCTATTATCTCTCCTTTAATAAACCAATTTGGCCAGTGCTCAAACATGATATAAATGAATGACACTTCACAGTAAATCACCATAACCTAAATGCTGTGGTATCCTCCATGAATCTCCCATGTCTAAATTACCAAATTACTGACTCCATCAAACCAACAGCTAGAAAATAGTTTGCTGTTTGCATATTTTGCTAATATGTTCAATTCAATGCATAGTTCAAACAGCCTCTCAGAAGCAATCAGTCTTCACTTTTGAAACAAATATACTTTCACTCATTTCCCCATGGGATATCTCAACAGGTCTGCCAGCACACAGTCTTTGCAGGCAAGATCTTAACCACATTCAACTTTTTCCAGGAACACACATGTTGCTAATTACAAACCCTCGAAAATGCAGAAGCAGCTTTAAGAGTCAATACTGGGCAGAAGCTGAAACAATTTGGAGGAGTAGGCTAGAAAAAGCCTATATTCTGGTGGGGGCCTAGAATACAACAAGACTAGGGAAAACATGGAACTTCTTAGAGATTGGTTAAGTGGTTATGACCACAATGCTGATAGAAATATGAAAGAAACTACCATTAGAGTGAACAGGCAACCTACGAGTGGGAGAAAATTTTTTGCTATCTAACCATCTGACAAAGGGCTAATATCCAGAATCTAAAAAGAACTTAAACAAATTTACAAGAAAAAAAGCAAACAACCCCATCAAAAGGTGGGCAAAGGATATGAAAAGACATTTCTCAAAAGAAGACATTTATGCAGCCAACAGGCACATGAAAAAGTGTTCATCATCACTGGTCATCAGAGAAATGCAAATCAAAACCACAATGAGACACTATCTCACGCTAGTTAGAATGGCGATCATTAAAAAGTCAGGAAGCAACAGATACTGGAGAGGATATGGAGAAATAGAATGCTTTTACACAGTTAGTGGGAGTGTAAGTTAGTTCAACCACTGTGGAAGACAGTGTGGCGATTCCTCAAGGATCTAGAACTAGAAATACCATTTGACCCAGTGATCCCATTACTGTGTATATACCTAAAGGATTATAAATCATTCTACAATAAAGACACATGCACACGTATGTTTATTGCAGCACTATTCACAATAGCAAAGACTTGGAACCAACCCAAATGTCCATCAATGATAGAATGGATTAAGAAATTGTGGTACATATACACCATGGAATACTATGCAGCCATAAAAAAGGATAAGTTCATGTCCTTTGCAGGGACGTGGATGAAGCTGGAAACCATCATTCTCAGCAAACTATTGCAAGAACAGAAAATCAAACACTGCATGTTCTCACTCTTAGGTGGGAACTGAACAATGAAAACCCTTGGACACAGGACAGGGAACATCACAGACTGGGGCCTGTCAGGGGGTGGAGGGCTGGGGGATGGATAGCATTAGGAGAAATACCTAATGTAAATGATGAGTTGATGGGTGCAGCAAACCAATATGGCACATGTATACCTATGTAACAAACATGCACACTGTGCACACGTACCCTAGAACTTAAAGTATAATAATAATAAAAAAAGAAATATGAACAGTAAAAGCCTTTCTGATAAAATTTCAGATGAAACTGAAGAGCAAGTTTTTAGAAACCAGTGGAAAGGCCATCCTTGTTATAAATTGACAAGAACTTGGCTGAGCTGTGTTAATACTTGAGAGCTTTTTCATCAAACCTGAGATTGATGAACTAGGGTATGTAGCAGAAGAAATGTCTAAGCAAAATAGAAGGACCATATGGTACATCTAGTTCTAGATCCTTGAGGAATCGCCATACTGTTTTCCATAATGGTTGAACTAGTTTACAATCCCATCAACAGTGTAAAAGTGTTCCTATTTCTCCACATCCTCTCCAGCACCTGTTGTTTCCTGACTTTTTAATGATCGCCATTCTAACTGGTGTGAGATGGTATCTCATTGTGGTTTTGATTTGCACTTCTCTGATGGCCAGTGATGATGAGCATTTTTTCATGTGCCTGTTGGCTGTATGAATGTCTTCTTTTGAGAAATGTCTGTTCATATCCTTTGCCCACTTTTTGATGGGGTTGTTTGTTTTTTTCTTGTAAATTTGTTTGAGTTCTTTATAGGTTCTGGATATTAGCCCTAAAGGATTATAAATCATGCTGCTATAAAGACACATGCACACGTATGTTTATTGCGGCACTATTCACAATAACAAAGACTTGCAATCAACCCAAATGTCCATCAGTGACAGACTGGATTAAGAAAATGTGGCATGCATACACCATGGAATACTATGCAGCCATAAAAAAGGATGAGTTTGTGTCCTTTGTAGGGACATGGATGCAGCTGGAAGCCATCATTCTTAGCAAACTATCGCAAGAATGGAAAACCAAACACCGCATGTTCTCACTCATAGGTGGGAACTGAACAATGAGATCACTTGGACTTGGGAAGGGGAACATCACACACCGGGGCCTATCATGGGGAGGGGGGAGGGGGGAGGGATTGCATTGGGAGTTATACCTGATGTAAATGACGAGTTGATGGGTGCTGACGAGTTGATGGGTGCAGCACAGCAACATGGCACAAGTATACATATGTAACAAACCTGCACGTTATGCACATGTACCCTAGAACTTAAAGTATAATAATAAAAAAAAAAATAGAAGGAGCTGCATGGTTGCTTTTGGCCACTTTCATTGAGATTTAGGAACAAAGAAACAATTAAAAACAATTTACAATTAAAGGAGAAGCAGAGTAGAAATATTTGAAAAACTTTCAGCCTGGCCATATAGAGTGAAAAATCATGTTCAGGAGAGGAAACCAAGAGTGCAGGGCTATTTGCTAAAAAGATTAGTAAAGGCAAAAAAGAGTCAGGTACTATTTCTCAAAACAATGAAAAAATAGCCTAAAGACATTTCAGAGATCTTCAATGCTGCCTCTATCATCACAGGCCCAGAGGTCGAGGGCAGAATGCTTTCAGTGGATTGGCCTGGAGTGATCTTCATGGGTTCACTGCCCAGGGTTGCCTCAGGATTCTGCTCCCTACATTTTAGCACAGTGCTCCATGGCTGCCTCAGTCATGGCTCAAGTTGC